GAAAACAATTCTATTCTTCAAATTACAGTAAAACCACTACATTTAGCAGCAAGAAAATTAACCCTACAATTCAAGAAACATAGAGGAAAGACGAGAGAAATAGGAGGGCAGGCTATCAGACTATTCACAAGGAAAGACCTAAAAGACGGATAAAGATTCCCTTATTAGGCAGCTTGAGGCCCACCAGCTTCTATTCTTAAAGTATTTCGATGGCCAGGAACCAGAAGTTAGGCACTGTTCCATTTTTAAGGTTCTCCACTAAAGAGTAGAAATTGTTTAACTAAGAGGAAAAGAAAATGAAATATATTTTCCTTTTTGTAAATACTTGATTATAGTTACTTATGAATAAAAAGATTAAAGATAATTTAACAAAGCTAAGGGCAGAGAGCATTCTTATGCCCATAGGAAAAGATCTATCAATAGTAATAACTATGATTCATTTCAGAGAAACTGCATATCAAAAATGGTAATACACTGAAAACCATTTTAAAATGTGTGTCTTATCACCACCTCCTTATTCCTTCCCTGTGTGCATATGTTGATATGGTATACTTCTGAAGGAAAATCAGCATAATCTAACTAAAAAGTATACTTCCTTAGAAGAAAAGTGTATTTGTTTCTATACCCAGTTCTACTGTTAATTAGTGATATGACTCTCTCTGAATCTGAAGATTTTATTCTGTAAAACAAGAATACTTAAGTATCATTTGGAACTATATGCCGCCTGCAGGCTATTTTTCTTAAGTATTTAAGAATTTAAAATCCAAACCATTTATTTCAAAAAAAGTTTATATAGCCCATGATCATTTTAGATATTATGTTCAGCAAATAGAATTTAGTTTTCCCTTAAGAATTAATGAAATGGCAATGTGGTAGATAGGGAGAGGGACTGGGAAAAGGAGATCAAGAGGGTGTGTGTGTGTGTGTCCTGGAGAAAAAGAAGCAGAAATTGTTAGACTCTTGTAATAATACTCATGGTTTCATTTACTAAAAATATTCTTACACCACATTTTAAATTAGACAATGGCAAGGTAACTTGCTACTTCATATATCCTACCAGCAACTTTTAGTTTTTTAAATGTTTTAAAAAGCTCATGCTCCAAATTTAAAATTCAGTTTCAAACATGATTGTTTCATTTTAACATGTACTTAAAATTTAAACTCTCAATTAGGGGCATATGATCATTTTCTTATAAAAAAATCTCTAGTTCTTAATAATATACTATTGTTCTTTACACAAGTTTGTAAATGGCTTAACAATTTTACACAATTTTTAAAAATATACATAGTCCAAACTTCTGCTAATCAGTTTTCCTGCTGTTCTCCATCTTTCCATTTCATTTTCTATATTAGGAACACTTACCAAATACAGTACATATCCCCATTCTGGAGCTGTGAAATAAGAAAGGATTCACAGAGTTGCAAAGCTAATACAGTCTTGCCTTCCTTTTCAGTGTTACAGATGATATCAATTCCACTCTTACAATCAGTTTTCAATAAATGCTGTAAGAGGAATGAAAAAATTCACATCATTAAAAATGTCTAAAAAGGTAGTTATAACAAATGCTTAAAGTAAACATTCATAACAAAGTAGACAGTTGACTAGTTTTCTTCTAGAAAGACGTGATGAATTGTACAGACTATTTCTGTGGTTTCACTGTTTCACTATATAGCATCTACATTTTATAGTAATTATTTTCTCATTAATACCATATCCTTACATGGGGTCTAATGTTAGAAAAGGAGTCATTCTTTCATCTTGGAAAAAAATGCACATGAGTATTTAAGTTCTTAGTATCTTAAGAGGCAAAATGATAACACTTCCCAGGTTTTATCTAACCTCTTCTGTCACATCAAAAATATGAATATGTTTAGTGAGCATATTTTATCAATTTTATCACTTGTTAGTATCAGATTGTAATTTAAAGTGAATTTAAAGAATGCTGCCAAAAGAGAACATATCTAGATATATGATCTTTTATACCACTGGTACTACTATAAAAGGAAATCAATAATAACAAGCTATCCCCCCTTCCTGGTAGTGTTAAACAGGTAATAGGCAAAAAAATAGTTCTCAATACCTGCCGGAATAACTGATCTTCTACAGGTGACATAAACAGACATGTGAAAAGTGCTTGATGGAAGTACAAGTCTTTACTGATTTCTGGGTGATTTATACAGGATTTAATAAGAGCCATTGCTTCAGGTATGCGTTCACAAGCAATTAGGTATCTGGCACGTAGTTCAAAGAACAGTGGATTTTCAGAACTTAAATATTTGTTCACTACATTAAAAAGAAAACAAATTCTATTACTCTCAAGAAAAGATTCCAACTTTACTATTTGAAACTACCACTAAAATTATATCCAATTAGATTAATGAGTTACTTAATTAAGTACTTTTCTTAGTAGAACTTTGTAAAAACAATATTCAGTTTTATAGTTGGGAAAATAAAAATAAGAATGACATTAAAACACTGCTCAAGAAAATCAGTTGATTTCTTCTCAGTTTAAAAAGTAAAAAACAAAACTAAATTTAAAAAAGAGGAAATGAAATTTTCTTCTTCAATATGTTAAACTGTTAACAATATGTTAAATATGTGTTTCAACTCATAAGGTCTAAGGTTATTTTTTAGTCTAAGATTACATACTTTATCTTCTTATGACTCAATATTTTCATTACTGTAAAAGGTTGAATCTTAAGTGATCACATTAAAACCACATTCAGATTATTTTGGAGAAATGTAAAGAAAATCAATGAAAAAGTTGAATTATAATATATTTTATTACTTTTTAAAATAAAATTAAACCAAAAATTATGTCAAATAAGATTAATACATTCATGTATCACTAAGACTAATTTAACTTACACTTACTTTTGCACAGTTTTGAAACATATAAATACCCTTAACTATATAAATTTATTTAGACCTAACAACAACCTTATGACTGGTATTAAAATATTTGTCTCACAGATCACAAAACTGAATCTCAGAGAGGTCAAATAACTTGCCCACGGACAAAGAACTTATAAGTGGCAGAGCCAGAACTGGAATCCCTATTTTATTATTTTTAAGTCCAAACGTGTTCTACTTATCTATGTTTAATTGGTAGCTACTAAAATGCTTATGAGTACTGTTTTATTTTGTCTTAAACATCTGCCTTGCAATTCTGTTCACAGTATATAATAATCAAACACTGATTTATAGTTAATGCAATGATAAACTTCAAGCTGGTCTCTACCCTAACGATCACTAACTATAGAGAAGAGTCATCCATATTAATGAGGGTTTAGAGCAGCTTTTCCCAAAGTGAGGTATGCTGGGTAGTTGTGAGAGGAATATTCGTTATTTTAATGATTCTCAGCCTAAAGGGCCAGACCAACCAACAACAGGTCTATTCTAGCTCCTACTCAGAGAAGCCTTAAAACTTCTTTTTAAAAGTTCAAACATTCTTCTTCAACTCCTTTTGAAGCTCTGGCTTTACCTCCTAATTGTCCTGGCCACATTTCCCCATCTCTTCAGTTTCCTCCAGTCTATGATTCTTGCCTTTGTTACATTTCATTTTTTCCTACTTTTCCTCAATAATCCAGCTGTTCTCCCTCAGCTCCCACTGTCTCCCTCTTTTTTAAAACATCCCTTCCCTTTCCAAGAGCTACACATCAAGCATCAGTCTCCTTTGCACTCTCGAGTTCTCCATACCTGTCACATATACCTTAGTCTTTTTCAGTTTTATCTGACCTGCATGCTACCCCACCACTTTACACTGGTACTCCTAATCTTCTGTCTTCATCTTCTCACTATCATAGCTCCAAACTTGTTGGGAGGTTTGCTCTTAAGCCTGAGAATCATAGCTTCTCCACTCAGCTCCTCTTACAACCCACCCTATTAACCTAAAACAAATGGAAATGTTCTAACCTGCACAATCTAGGATGTAAAAAACTTTTCTTACCAGTCTGACTGACTTGTAGGGTTGAAAGGTCTTATATTTTCTCTGTAGATTTCTTTCAACTGTACCTCAGTAGGCTCTCCATACTTTCAAATGTTTTCCACATTTTTATTCTTATTCACTACTTCTAAGTTTTTGTTACTCAAAATGTTCTGGAGTTCAGAATGTTTTAATAATATGGGAAACATGATTTTAAAGGGATTATTAGAAGCAGCTAACAAAGTTTCCTGCCTCAAAAAACAAATTTTGTTCCACAAGGATCTACAATTGACAGGAGGTGATGTCAAAGGATGTAGGTAATATGGAATGAGACAGAACTTAACTTCTATTGGATAAAGTTTGGAACATACTATAATATTTGGGATCCAAATTTATTCAGTCACTCACTCAGGTGTGCATCATATGGTCAGTCATTCAGTCAATGAATACTTATATTAAACATCTGCTTTCCACTATGCACGGAAATAACTGTAGAACAGACAACAGCAGTAAAAACTCAGTTCTACCTCTCACAGGAGTTTCTATGGAAGGGAGATAACATAATGCTTTCATGAACAGGACAGGTTTTTTGTTTCATTTTGTTTTGGGTTTTTTTTTTTCTTTGTCTAATAAAGATGTTCCTACTTAAACAAATTTTTAAAATATAACTGAAGTGATTAAAAACTCCCTGTAAATAAGTGACATCAAGTACAGATGTTAACACACTCAATTCCCATACTAGAAACAAATGTACCTAATTTGATGTAAAAAAATCACTTTTGGCCCAGTTAGAATAACAAACATTCTTCATTTGAAAGTACATTTCATTATTCAGTATTATAAAATTAAAAAGTAACTATTACTGCTCTAGAAATTGTTTTTACTTCTCACAAATGTTGGTTTTGATTTTAAATCTCCTGAAGTACCTATCTCCTGAGATGCTGGCTGGGCTTTAAGAACAGCTTGCAACACTGGATCTTCCCATGGGCCACCATCTCTAATGATTCGAGTCACCAGTTCCAGATTCACATTTCCATATCTGCGGAGGTGATTCTGGCATTCCTAGGAGAGAAAAATCATTTTGGCTTTGTGAATTTAAAGGGGTTAAAAGCTAAACTTGATCATCGTCGTCAATAAAATGACTGATGGCCAAATAAGATAGCTATATAAAAGAGAAAGGGATGCTATTGTAATCTAACCAGGGTGACAAAACCCCATTTAATACATAAATAGGCTTTAATGCCAAAGGTTACACAGTGTATATATAATTGGATTTAGAAAATCCCATTTAAAAAGGGATGAAGTGTAACCTAAAAGAAAAACTTAAATAATGCATACTTTCTAGGAAAAGAACCAGGTTGCAAAAAACTGAAAATTAAATGTTCAGTTAAATTTACATGAGGACTAATAAAGTTCCTGTTCACAATGGTAGGCAAGAGCCTAACTATAAGAAAGGGAGTAAGGTGGGCCTTCCTCATTATGCACACTCTGGCTGGTAGGTAGACACAAGTCCCCTGCCCTGGCCTAAATTTATGCCAAATACATAATCTAAGTTGTGGTAGAAGACTGGAATGTGGAAAATTCTACTCATGATTTAGGGATAAAGAAATGACATGTTGAAGAAATAAATCTAACCCATAATATGAATGGTTTGTATTAGGTTTAAAGATAAAGACAGACTGATGAACCAAGTAACAACTAACAATTTGTCTGCATTTTGGGGTTTTTACAAAGGTATGTAAAGTGTTTTTAAAGAATCTGTTGTTTTCATTACCATAAAATTTTAACAAGTTTAAAATTTCAGAGAACTTGGTTTGCTAAGTTTGAGTATAATAAATTTGACTTCTTAGATTTAGGTTTACAAGATTTATTTAGTTGTTTGATGCTACAGTTTAGATCTAAAATGTCCCCCCAAAAGTCTTGTGTTCAGAGGTGGGGCTTTTAGAAGGTGACTGGATAGCGGAGGTGCTATATGCATGAGTGGATTAGTCCAATGATGAGTTTACAGTTGACTGCTGTTGTGAGGTGGGGGCCTGTTTTGAAGAGACAGGTCACTGGGCATAACCTAGAAGGGTGTATTCTTGTTCCAGCTCTTCTTGTCGCTGAAGCTGCCATGAGGTGAACATCATTCCTCTGCCTTGCCTTTCCACCACATTGTTCTAGCATGGAGCCAACCAACCATGGACTCAATTCTTGAAAACCATAAGCCAAAATAAACCTCTCCTCCTTTAAGTTGCACATATCAGGTATTTTGATTATGCCTTTTGATTCATTATATATTTTGTTAAGTGTTCCTTTAATGTTTCAGGAAATTCAACAGGACAGTATAAAAAGATTAACTGAAGGTCTAATAAAAGCATTATTTTTAAAAATACTAAGTTGAGCTTGAAACTTAAAGAAAAGCTAGATATTGAAGCTGACGAAGTTAAAATTTAAAAATAACTTTATTAATTAAAACAAAAAAGTCAGAATTTGTGTGTTCACAAAATACCTTAGACATTAAAAGCTTTGTAGCAGTCATAAAGCAAACCCTCAGGATAAAAAAATACATCTTCAAAATTTTTACTTATCAAATAAATCATCACAGTATATATTCAGCGGCTATAAATTCTTCACTTGAGTTAAACTGTCATATTCTTCCATAATTTGAACATTCCATTTTAGACTATAAAGTGATTTCTATATGCCACTTGACTTCCTGGTTAAAATACACAAAAAAGGACATTTTATTTATAAGAGAACAAGACAGAAGTCAAATTTTAAGAAAAAGAATCACCAGTCAAATGAAAGAATCATTAAGTTCAAATATGAAAATAAGTTATCTCCTGATAAGTTATTTAAGGGTGTCCCAGGATCAAAGCAAGCATGCAAACAAACAAAATACCTATAAATAATGGGCAAGTTACTTAACCTCTCTGTGCTCCCCATCAGGTCAATTTCTCTGCAAAATTGTTAATAAAAAGCACCTATTCATATGATTGTTGTGAGGATTAGATAATATACAGTATTGAGAACTGCTTGGGACAGTGCCTGACACATAGTAAGCACTTCATAAACATTAGTTTTTATTTTTAGTATTTTTTTAAACACTCTGAGTATTTTTCTTTCAGATACCCAGTCACCTTAGTATAATAAAAAGATTTCTGCATTTCCATATGTTTCCATGTTATTGCATTCATAAAAACATAAGGTAGGGGACCGGGGATTTAGCTCAGTAGTGCTGTGGCCTGCCTTGCAAGCACAAGGTCCTGAGTTTGATCCCTGATACCAAAACAAAAAATAAATAACTAAGGTAGGTATAAAGTTTCTGATCAGCCAGGATTTTTTTGTTTTTTAGCATACATGTAACGTAGTAATGATCTATAGTAGCACCTTCATGGTTCAAATCAATCATCAATTTATATTTATTTATTTATTTATTTATTTGGTACTGGGGATCGAACTCAGGAACTTGCACTTGCGAGGCAGGCGTGGTGCAACTGAGCTAAATCAGTCAATCAATTATTTATTTATTTATTATATGTGGTACTAGGGATCAAACTCAGGACCTTGCGCTTTCAAGGCAGGCATGGTGCCACTGAGCTAAATCCCCGGCCCTCAAACATCAGTTTAAAACCTGACATGGTAAACAAACTCCCCAATTATTCTACACATATACAAGTATATTACTGCCCCTAAAATTCAAATACTATAAGGTGATTGGGTCCAATCAAAGCACAGGAAATAAGGTAAGCTGGACACAAGCGGAGTCACTGGTAAGCTTACTTCTACTGCCAAATCCTTGGAGATTCCATTTTTCTGGCTAATGGTAGTTGAGGTACCAATCATGTAAACCATTAATGCAGAGGGACTTAGAACTGTACTGAAGGCTAAGTCAAGATGTACTGCCAGTTTACTAAATTTGGCTGAAAACAATAAACAAATTTTGTTAAACTGACTGTACTTCAATTTAGACCACTAATCACAATTTCAACAGGAAAGCCCTTAAGATCTGTATTTAACCACTTACCAGTCCAATTATTTAAATACAGGATGACCAAAAATTGCATATTTTTTCATTAATTTTATAAGATAATATAACAGGAAATATAAAAATGTCAATTTTATCAAATTTATTCAATACAAGAATCTACTGGTTGGGGCCAGTGATGCAGCTCAGTGGTGCCGCACCTGCCTGGCAAGTGCAAGGTCCTGAGTTTGATCCCCTATACCAGGTAAAAAAAATATAAGAATCGACTGAATGAAATGACACCTGCCTGAGCAACACTTGGATAGTCAGTATGTAAACAAGCACGCTGCCTAAGTGACTGCTCAGGGTAAAGTATTAAGTGGTTAACAATTCCCACCCAAAGGCAACTTTTGGATAGTTCTGTTGTTATTTTTAAGAGATAGGATCATGTTATATTGCCCAGGCTGCCCCTGAACTGCTGGCCCAAGTAGTCCTCTTGCCTCACCCTCCCTCTCCAGTAGCTGGGACTACAGGCATGTGCCACTGTGTCTGGCAGATTACTTTTCTGACTATATTGCCTACAGTTTTGACTGTGAACTCCATAGATATTATTATAAATTATATTTTTACTCCTGTCTTTGCTATTAAAATTAGTAAATTAATTTATGTTCATTTTTCTAAGGTAAAAATTGTAATTTAGTTTTTTCTTTGTGTTTATGTATTTCTTGGGTCAACAAATATTCTGGAGACTACTCCTATAGCAAATACCTCTAGTTAGGGAAGAGAAATAAAATAAAGACTTTATTGTGGTCTATTGTGCAAAGATCCAGAGGGACAAGAACAAATAAATTTGAAAATTTTTTTTACTCCTTTCTTAAGTAATATGACTTTCTTGCATGATATTCAATTTAATATTGCAAGTGAGTAATGAAGCACTTAAATTCACGATAGAATTTACAAATTATTCACTCCTAGAGAATAATATATGCACACTATATATTTTTTAATGTTTATTTAAATAAATTTGACGTGTGTATTGACTTAAGCCATCTATCTACCACATTATTGTTACCCACTGCACCGTGCTAAATATAATCCCTTTAAAAACTTCCATTCAACCTTGTGTCTGCCAATCATACAAAAAAAGCATAACTCTTTACCTTACTCTTCTTTGAGAATCTACTGTGGAGTGGACTTAATATTTTGCCCCTAGAGGGAAGATTTCTCTTTCTTGAAATGGATGCTATTTTTTAAAGGAGGCAACATATATTTGTAAAGCTGTTTGGACACTTCAACATGTTGGTTTGAACCTTTACCAGCTTATCATAGGATGAAACTCCCTTTAATGCCTTAATCTCATGCTTAATAACCTTCATCAACTCATTCACCTATTATTACAAACTACAAATCCTTTTCTCTAGTCTCGCCTGTCACATTCCCCAAATTCACCTTGTATTTTCTTGCCTATGCCTTTTTTTATGCCATTTTCTTTCTCCTACAATTTCCATAAACTTGTCTAAATCTCATCTTTACACCTTTCCATTTTCCCTGAGAAGCCTCCACTAGTTACTTCCATCCATAATAAACTTAATTGCTCTCTTGCAGTATTAAAAATCTGGAGAATTGATTCTTCTGATACATTTCATAGAAGCGGAAGGCCTTGTGTTACTATCTTAAATTTTGAAATCTTACTTTCTTGGGTAATTAAAAGCTTTTCCAAATGGATCCAGGAAAAGAAAGGTATGCTTATAAAGATATATTTTGATTAAGATAGTTTTATGAAAATCTATGTAGTAAGTAAAAGCACTGTGGAACATCTGTCTGATTTTGAATGAAATAAGATTCTAGAGTACAATTATAAAATACCACATATCAAATTCATTTATAAGTATACTCCAGGAAATCAAAGCAAAAATGTAAAAGGTGCTCAGTGTGGTTAATTTTATAAAAGCAAAGCTTTTATAATACAGTAAAATGTTTTTTAAAAAATAGTAAGTCAGGCATGGTGGAGCATGCCTGTAATCCCAGTATTCTAGGAGGCTGAGGCAGGAGGATTGTGAGTTCGAGCCCAGCCTGGGCAACTCAGAGACTTAGTGAGACGTTGTCTCAAAATAAAATATACAAAAAGGGCTGGGGATGTGGTACAAAGGTCCTGGGTTCCATTCCAAGTACTACACACATTCTTTTTTTAAATAAAGGGAACAGTTATAATAATAAAAAAATTAACCACTTTTCACAAGAAAGGTTTTAAGAAGAAAATAATTTAAAATAAATATCTGGAAGTACATTACTACATGGTTATTGTCATTAAAAAACATTATGTCACCTACGTAACTAACTTAACAGAATTTTCTGTTGAACAAACTTTCACCTAGAGTATTTTAATGCATTTTTAATATTTGTTTAAAATACTTGTATTAGGTTGGAGGTATAGCTCAGTGGTAGAATGCTTGCCTAGCATGTACCAGGCCCTGGGTTCAATCCCCAGCACCACAGGAGAAAAAGAAAAAAAAGAAGAATGATTAGTATTCAAGAAAAACTGACTGACATCAGGAATAACAGAAATTTACTAATATTTCAACAAAACTGCATAACTGGTGAAAGATTTTAAACCAAGTATCATGATTTAGAAAGGAACATTTTTCTACTACCAAAAGCACACTCCTCACTTATGCCAGAGGTTAAAACTAAGCATCAAAGGAAACTGCTAGACTTTGGCCAGGCATGGTGATGCACACTCGTAATCCCAGCTGGGCTACACAGCTGAGATTTAAAAAAAAAAAAAAATTTTTTTAATTAAAAAAACTACACACACACACACACACACACACTGAATTAGTGTGTTAAAATTTTTCAAAAGTACTATAAAGCATTTTCCATCATAGTGCTGTCATTCAGAGTTTTACATTTAAAATATTTTTACTTTTATCATTTTTAATATTTCACAATGTATATATTAGAATATGCATATAAATAGTAAACGTGGGAATATGTGCTCAGACTTTCAAAAATACGGTACAGTACAGTTACTGAAGCCTGGAGACTGCTTGTCTTAGGTATTATTTGTTAACACACTCGAGTTTGGGTCCAAATATAAAACTTATGTTTGCCTTCTTGATCCTAACATCCTATTGGTTTTCTTTATCATTGCCTGATCTGCTACTGCTTAACATTTCTAAAGTTACCACTCTAGTCTAGGCTTTTATGTACTGTAACTCAGATCATGTTCTCAACTAGTTGCAAAGTGTTACTCCTACCCACTAATTTTGAAGGCATTTAGGTTAGGTGACTGCTCTTGACAACTTTGGACTTGTATGATGCTCGGAAAATAAAATCTTTGTTTATGGTTGGATACAGATGTGAGTAAGTATCAATGAACAATGCCCCTCTCGAGATGACTGCCATTGCATGTGTCAGGGTATACTGACCTTTCCTGAAATAGATACAACCTACTGATGCTGACATTCCTATCCTCTGGAGGCTTGTTCTTGGCCCCTTGTGCTTACCTGTTATTTATTTTAAATTTTATGCTTTAAATAATTCTGCCTCTTGAACTTCTTCATATTATACAAGTTTAACACTTAAAATAAGATGTTT